CTACTGTTTAGAAGTCTTACTTAGACAAAATAAAAATATATGTTATATATATGGTGTGAGCATCGCCAATCCACTCAACTACTATAAAAACTCTCACTGTTATTAATACAGCTTATTTTGTTTAATTTTTTTAATTTACATTGATCAGAATCTTTGAAAACTTGATCATCATACTACCATAAAGCCAAAAGGCTATTTTTGTACTAGAACCTACATCCTGTCAGGTTTCACCATTTTCCTAAAAACAAAATAGCTAAATATTCAACAGAGCATTACCAGAGATTTTTGTTTGATAAGAGAGATAGCAGCACTGTAAAAGGATTATTTCATTTTTTACATGTTATTTTTTTCTCAGTTAATATAATGAAACGTAGCCAAAATATTAGCTATGTATTCTGATGCATAGTTATTTTTAATGAATATCTTATCACATGTACTGAAATCTACAGTGCCGTTCCAATTATTTTTAATTATTGACTGTTACAATGATGTTTTGACGCCACACTTTTCTATTTCTATAATCGGGAAATTTGAAGATGCGCTGGCTCCTCCTCCTAAAATCATAGCTCCTCTCCTTTGTACAAATTTAGAGAGACACTGCCTGTACCAGCTGGATCCAGGACTAACACATACTGATGCTTCTTCTGTACACCTACCCAGCCTACAAAGATGTAACTGTGTGAAACCCAGAGCACCTTCAACCCATCCATTTTCTAACCATTTCATCCTGTTCAGGATGCTATCCCGGCAAGCAACGGACACAAAGAGGGATACACCCAAGACAGGACACCAGTCCATCACAGGGCACACATAGACACAGACATACATTTTTTCCAGAATTTTTTCCACTTTTTCCAGAAGCCAATTGACCTACCAGTACTGCATGTCTTTGGACTGTGGGAGGAAATTGGAACACCTGACAAAAACATGCATGAACACAGGTAGAACATACAAACTCCACACACATAGCACCCCACATCTGATCTGGAATTGAACTTAAAGAGCCAGTACTATAAAGCTGCAATGCTAACCACTGTGCCACCTAACTCATTAACTCTCTTGATATTCAGTCAGAAACATTTAAGACATCACTCAAGCCACTGTTACAAAATTGAAAGTGCAACAGATTGCAAGCAAATTAATGAACTTGTCAATTGTTGGCTAATAATAGTAAGACATGATTGTATTTCTTCAGCAACAAATGCATTAAGGTCAGAGTTAACTGCACCACTTTGGCAGTTCTTTTATATGGTAAAATCTCCAAATAAAAGCATGTTGTTATCTCACTATATTTGTCTTTGCTATTTTATGAAAAATGTAAAGTTTAATTGCTTTGTTCTGCATGATTTCAGGGCACTGTGAGGGTCTTGTTACAATTGTACCAGTAATGTTATACAGAAGTGCATCCAAATCTGCACATTTGCTTATTAAATACACGTACTGTACAAAATATCTACAAAGCACAAATGATTTTTAGCAGTTGCTGGCTTTGGGCTGTTTATTTTTACATAGCGATATTAACGCAATCATTACCAAGTAAAAACTGTATTGTGGGCCTTTTTGTGTTGTCCACTCTCCAGTAGTTCTTATTTGTTTACAGTATTTATTAAAACATTCACTGACAACTTTTGCTTCACAAGGAATTTTTCAAATGTCAGTCTTGCCATTGCACAATTTTGTAGAATAAGCTTACTTATTCCTCTTTATTTTAGTGTAGGCTGAAAATTAGTAACTGATATACTGTACCTGTCAATCCATTTTCAATAACTGCTAAAGCCTAATACAGGGTCACGGTGATCTGTCTCAGCAGAAAACTGGGGCAAGAATATGTCTTGGACAGGACACTAGTCCATCACAGGACACGTTCAAGGAGGACAATTCTGACATGCCAGTTAATCTAGAAAATGTGACTTCAGGCTCAGGGAGGAAACTGGAGCGCTCTGAGAGGACCTTCAGTACTTGGCAGCAAGGAAATCATGCAACCTTCATGTAGCGGTAAACCTAACTGGAATCAAACCCATCCCTTACAGTCTTCAAGGCAGTAATGTTAACAGTCACTTCACCATGCTGCTTAGTAACTAATATAAATGCAATTGTAACAGTCAGAATACAAATCTGGGAAGAACCTTAGACCCAAATCTTGCACTTCCGCTTGCGTGTATAGAAGTGTTGTCCCCAGGACTTCCCACAATATATCTCTCTCATAAACCTGGGATACACCTCTGTAGCAACTCCCTGGCACGATCCAGGGAGGGGGCAGCTGGGCAGTATCATCCTTCAGCAAGGCTGCCAAAATTCCCTTAGCCAGCGGAGCTACACCAAATACACTTATAAAGTCTCTCTCGTCTTTACAAGGATCTAACCAAACTGCTGAGTGATTCTGAGTTATTCTTCACATGGGTTTCAATGGAGAAACATAGAAGGTTCTCAACGAATAGAAGATTACTTGATTCTTTGTGATTAGCAGTAAATTTCACATTGGGATGGACCATACCTGTTAGTATGAAAATGTTCATTATATTTTACAAGGTGTGCACTTCTCCTCAGGACCTGCTTAAGATCCATGTAGGCCCTGGGCACCTCTGTTTTGTGGGCCCTTTGGTAGATATATGTTTTAAGGGTATATCAATTTTTGTAGGTAGAATATATTCAATTATCTTGAATATTTTTTCTTATACCCTGTTCTTGATATATATATACAAGAGGTGATCTTTGACAGTTTTCATCACAGAAATAAAAAAAAAACATGACAAAATCATCCCTCCACCAATTTTCTAACCACTCCTACAGCTTATCCAACTCAGGCTCAGCTGCTATAGGTAACAAAATTATATAGCACAAAAAAAATCACATAAAAGAAACTTTAGTTTTTACTGTGCCTATTGGATAATATGGCCCTGTTTCTCCTCTGCTGAAGCCTTACGGCTGCTGGTGACTTTTTGATGTGGAGACTTCCATTGTTTCAGGTTCTCACCGTACAGAAAGCAGTAATATCCTGTCTAGACCCCTTTCTTTCTCCAGAGTAACAGTTGTACACAATCAATACAATAAGTGGATAGAAGAACATATGTGAAATATCAAATAACTGTAGCAGAAATAGGATGAGGCATGGAGTGGTTTTCTCAAGGTTGTAGGTGCACACCACAGCTAAAATCATTGCTGTTTATCTAGAAAAAGGTTCTTTAACTACATTTTTCTAAATCACCAAGCTGAACATAAGGGTACCAGGCTTTTCTGGAGATCACCCTCCAATCTCCTTGGGAGATGGACCCATTCTTTGCTGCGTCTGGATGTGATCTGATGACTATGTGCCACAGTAGCAAGGACAATCTCAAGCCTGAAGTCTTGAGTGTGTGTGACAGACAATGTATTCACTGAAATATCAGAAAAACACAAGAGACAACTTGCAATTCAAATTCTTCTTGAGTTAGGAAGGGTTAATGCATTTTTACAATCAGCGAGTATGTGGGGGTGGATGTGTTGAGCATGTCTCTGGAATTGAAGGTGAAAGTGGATGGTTTCTCACCTCTGTCATGGGCCATTAATGTCAGTCATGTTTATCAGGGTGAATTCTTTGATCTATAAGTATTGACAACCTTGTTACATAATGCAGAAGAGAATGTAGATTCACTCACATAGAATGTCCACAGGAGAAGATGTAAAGTCTTTGGTGATGCTATCCTAGACTGCATTCTTATAGAAATCATAGATAACATTAAGCATTACATTACTACAGACACCACAGAACAAGTTTATGTTCATCTAAAGCAAACAAGATTCATTATCCAAAATCCAAGTAAAGACGGGAGTTTTTTAAAGGTGTTTTTATAAAGGTGAGGTATGTTTACTGAAATGCTGTTATTTCTGTGTTTGATCAATTATTCTTCATCACACTTTTTAACGTGTCTGTCACCTTGTATTCTAATGTTTTTGCAATGCAGTAGTATAAAATCTAATATCCACACAATATACAAAATTACAGATTTGCAATAAGGTATTTTTTCAGAGGAGTGTTCCATCATCTGTTGGAGTTCAAGACAGCACTAATGCTTTGTCACTTTTCTTCTTCATATTATTGACCCTGGAATACTACAGTAAGTGTTAGTTTTAGCTATCAGAATCCACAGAGTCCACATAGAACTCGGGCCTTTAGCAAAGCATGTTAATAGGCAACATCAGCTCTAGTTTTATTAGCTCTGAGGCAACCTTCACTGGAAGATATGGGGCACTGGTAAATATTTGGAGCTCTGAATTTTCCTGTCATTCACTTCCCAATATTAGCTGATAAATGTAAAATGTTTCAAGCAAGAGCATAAATAATTATGCTGTATCATAATTTAAAGCACAAAATAGTAAAAGATTAATGAAGAAATACTAATATACAGGTTAACACAATACAGTGAAACGTAAATTTGTCTAGAAATTATGATTCGTTAATCCATGTCACCTTTCAAGCAATTTACATGGACTAAAGTAGTTCAGGTGGGTAGCTGCGTCAGCATGCGTAGGCTGCAAAGGAACAAGTAATCCGTTTATTTAATGCTGAAAAGAAGAAAGAGAACACCTGAAGAAGGCTCCACGGCCGAAACGTTGTGTTCTCTTTCTTCTTTTTTTCAGCATGGAATAAACCTATTACGTGTTCCTTTACATGGACTAAAATTTGAAAAGTATAATGCAAAATATATACAAGGAAAAAAACAATTAGTGTTTACAATTAGTTGCATTGTGCATCATTTATTCTATTTATTCTACATAGAGTATATTCCACATATATTCTGTGTAGAATGAATAGAATAAATGCATAGTATCAAGGTCTGTAGGCCTGTAGGTCTGTAGTTAGGTCGGTAAAAATATTAGATTGTTGTGATCGAAAAAGTATTAGAGGTAATTGAACTTTTTCAGCCTTCATCAGAATGTTTTGCTGTGGAAACAGGTGTGATATACTGTGAAAAAGGTTCCTGTTGTAACTGCATTGCTTCCTGATCTGCGTGTGTTTCCAGGTGCTGCAGATGTATCTTCCATTCTGTGGGATTGCCATATCCAATGCCCAGCTGTTCGCTGCCTCTAGGAAAGAATACGACAGAAGCAGAGTAAGAGTGAATCCAGGACTCTGGACAGCGGATTGCTAGTGTATCCACTTCCTCTAGCCCATCACTCACTGCTAACAATAAGGTTCAACATTGATCCCCTCACATCCCACTCACTGTCACTGTGTTATATGCTAAAGAGACACATGTGTTTTTCATTAACTAAATGGACTCTTTCCTGAAACATTTAGTGCTAAATCTATAGAGTGGGAAGCAGAGGTTGGCATAGAGCTAGTTGGTCCAAGAGATAAATCACAAGAGATAATAACTGGTCCTCAACTAGGCATCCATAGACTGCTTTTGGCATTATTTCACTGACTACTGATACAGTACATAAGGCCAGCGGTGGCCATTTAGTGCAGCCATGTTGTAATTGTCATTGTAAGTCCTTAGAAATTTGTAAATTGTACTTAAATCGGTAGAGTTTGGGGTGTGCGAGTCCTTGTGCCTCAGAGAAATAGTCCCCTCTGGATTCTAATGGAATGAAAAATATAAAAGTGTTTACAGAACCATTAACACTTATCAGCAGTATTATCATCGTGTAACAGGGCAAACAAATGGGGAGCGGACAAATGGGTCTGAGCCACTAGGGGGCGATGTTGAGACACTGTCTAAACAAGAAATGCTAACATTCTCACAAGGACATTGGAGAATGGACTGCACGTGTGGACACTGTTCCCTATTAAATAGTCACTCAGAGTAAACAGGTGTTGTCTATTCAGACTCACACGTGTCTCTGAGATGGTGTGAACTTAAATCTGGGGGAGAGTTCCATAGGAAGAGGGTGAGGGTAAAATAATAAGGTTTTGGTCACCCCCTTGGTATTGTATTTATTTTTAAGGGGAGTGACATATTTTACCGTTGCAGTGCTAGACCACCAGTAAGTATGAAGACAGGTACAGAGCCAACTGGCCTAAAAGGAACTAGCACGTTGGGATTTCCACGGTTACGTATTGGGGATGAAGGGTTAGGCGAGTCATTATTTGGACAGGTATGGGGAGAAGGAAACGTAACATCAGGGTATTTCCAGATGCCACCTTGACACCAATATATTTGTGGCCGTTCCCTCTGCTATGCTATCAATTAAGGGGGTTCTTTGATGCCCTGTAATATTATACATTTCAGACTACTTTTCAAATGCAGCTGGATGGGGGTTTAGAGCCCGTGGCCCAGATTATTTATTAAAGAGTTTCTGCACTTGATGACAAAAACATTTGAAGAAAATGTCCTTTTCAAGAGCAGAAAATGTGACTTAAAGAGCTTTAATAGGAACAGATAAATATTCATTTGTTTGATGTGTACTCATGAAAAGATTTCTTTTTTCTTCCAGTTCAGGTTGCAGATGTTTTGCCCCAGGTATATTTTGCTTTGGGAGAACTACTCTGAATTTGTCGCCGTTGCCCCCTCTTCAGAGTACAAACGAGATAATATTGCTCTTCTGCCATTTTATCAATGTCCCTTACAGTTTGTAAATACTGTACATTGTAAACGTGCATATGTTCTTTAAGTTATCAATTCTTTATTATAATGTTAAAATATTACTTTTCAAATGTATTTACCTGCTCCAGCACATTTATGGGGAAGCTTACAGGGAATAATTTGAATAATAGAAAACAACTGAATTAAAAAATGGAATACTATATTACTCAATATGGATCTGCTCCATTTGTGGATTCAAGAGCAGACTCTTATTCTTGTTTTTTTTTTAAGATAATGAGAGCTGCAAAAAAATATATGATTACACTAATTTAATGGAGTCAATAACAGAATTTTGCGAGGAAGATTAGATTCTATTCCTGCACACTTCCGCTCACCTACATATATATATATGTCTCGCACCCAGGACTTCCTTTTGCATATCTTGCATCCCCATTTATGCTCTTGCAGTAAAATCCCTTGGCTCACACCTTGCAATGCTGCAGGGGAGGTTAGGATCTAACCAAACTACTGAACGGCACATTTCAGTCATGTTAATGCTTGCACTAGTGTTTCAGACTCTCTTTGAAACACTACCACCACCATTTTCGGTGGCTTTGGATGCCGACAGTATCCCTCCTGACAGTTCGTTTCTTATCGCAATTTTTTTTTTTCTCCTGCTTTCCGCCTAGGCTTTGCTCGAAGTTGTCAACGACTTATTCGAAGAGCAGACAGACCTGGAGAAGATTGTGCGGAAGATCATGCACCGAGCCCAGACACTGCTGAAGTGCGAACGCTGTTCTGTGCAGCTCCTTGAGGACATTGAGTCCCCGGTATGTAGGGAAATTACATTTGTTGGGGGGAGGGAACCCCCCAGGTTTTTGAAATACGTTTAGCACATTTTTTGTGTCATAACAATCAAAAAGTGGTTACTGCAATAGCAAGGACTAGATCTGTTTTACCAACAGAAGATGTTTCTCTAAGAATTATTTTAACCATTACTCTTTGAATTAAAAATATTTTTTTTCTTATAAAAGGTGGTGAAGTTTACCAAATCGTTTGAGCTCCTCTCTCCCAAATGCAGTGCTGACACTGAGAGCAGGTATGTCCTATGTATAAATGAATATTCAGTGTAACCTGGATTTCCAATATCGGTTAGCTTTAAAATACTCTTCTGCAAATAATAACCCCATGCAGCATTTTTAATCACATTTAACCAGTTAACAGGTGAATAGGTATTTTCTCAGGCAACAGTCAACGATTGAATAGCTCTTTAAATTCTAGCGGGGGAAGGACCATCAGCACATTGATTTTCTTATATTTTCTGCCTGCATATTTTTAAAGAAAACAGAAAGAAATCTGAATTGTGAAAACTAATTAATTCCTATCTCCCCATCAGGTAAAACTGACCACTGAGCGAATGACTGAGATGGTCACATTGCTTAGAGAGAAAATAAAACTTGTTGCCCCAAATTGGTTTGTGATGTTTCTGATATTATGTTAATGAATTATTCTTGCACCAATCTTAATCTGTTCCTCAAAGATTTAAAGTTGCTGTCCCTCCTCTAGATCTATGATTACAGAGCATTTTATGTATAAATTACCTTTAAAATAACCAAGCAATATGGAGTGTCTGTGGCAGAAGTTCTGTTTAATGTGCAGATTTCTACTGTCTACTTTAGGAGCAGTTATTGTAATGCAGTCTTCTTTTTTCACAATGTATAACATGCATCAGTACTCTGTATACTGACCAAAAGACTTGACAGAAATATTATTTCTTCGGTACTTATATTAATATTAATATTAATATTAATAGGGCAGTTTGTTAATAATGGCAACATTGTTGTCAAGGAGGTATGGACCCAGTCTTAAACTGTTTTAAAAAATCATATTTCTTCCTCATGAACATAAAATGTAAAACAGTGCCATAAGAAGAGGCATTTTTCTAAGAACCAGGTCTTGTTGTAAAAGCCAGTTGTTTTTAGGGAACATCTGGCATCTGATATATTTTAATTGTACAGCTGTTGGCTATATTACCACTATCAGTTCAATCTTGAGCAGAGACGTACTGTAGCAATCCCTGCACCATTGAAATGAAGCCAACTGATTGGGATTCAGCTGTTCCTTCATAGGTTTTCCCAACACATACTGTCAAATACAATGACAGAGGTAAGGAAATTAAATGTAAAAAATATAATAACATTTTATGTTAAATGTCCATTCTCTAAAAGAAATACGTTACATCTCATGAATGTATGAATTCCACTCCCACAGTCCACTTTGTCACGAAAGGAACCCAGGACCTAAAAGCAAAATTCCACTTGGAAATTGGAAATAATACTTCCCAAATATTTTGTACATTAATGCATCAAGCGTTTTAGATTCCTTAAGCTTGGGTGTGTGTCTTCAAGTAGTCTTTCCAGTCAAAATAAAGTATTCAGGCACCGGAACATGCAGAATGAAGCAAATTGTTGTTAACAATTAAAATTATTAGTCCAATTTTAAAAGCGAGAGAACAGTAAGCTGAAATAAAAACCTGGAAAGTGTGAGCTGTGACTTCATCCATCACTAACTGGAAAATGTCTGGGCAGGGATTTAAGCTTATAGTGCTGGTGGATTTTTTTGTGTGTTTGTCTCTGTGCACACAGTAAAAGCTATTAAAAAGGCATTCTTTGCAATAATGTAGCAGTAAGTAATTTGTCAGTTTGCAGATTCTGTCTTTTTTTTTTGTGAAGAAATTAGGATATGAACTGTTTTTTCCAGTTGTTTAAAAACTTCAAGTTGCTGTCATTTTCATTTCATTACATAGCCTCTTTCATAACTGCAAGGACCCCTAACCCAGCCTCATGTTTGTCTGTGGTACTATAATATGTTTCTATTGAGAACATGCTTGGGGAGCTTAGTTAGACTGCTTTTCTCTGTACTTCCACATTTGTGAGAAAACTGGCAGAAACATACAGTTTGTTGTATCTTGCGTGTCTCTAAAGCTTGGTCATACTGTAAGTACCTAAAGAACACAACAGAGGCCTACTCTCATTTCTTTTAATTTCTTATGTATTATGTAACTTGCCTTTTAAGATGCTAGTATCTAGGAATTTCCGCATTCTCATGGTTAGCTTGTTGCAGAAATCTACTAAACATCATCATGGGCATGGAGAAATAATTGTCTCAGGAGACCCTTTAAATTTCACGGATTGACTAAATTACATTTTTTCACTAAAGATGGAGTTGTATATTTGGGTTAATACATTTCCTTGGGCATGTTTTAGCAGATCAAGCCCAACTGCGATACATCTTTGTAAATTATGCTGAAGATCTCTGAAAACCAAGTTAAGTGATGGAAATCTCCACTTTCCAAAGAAGGCTGACAATTAGAAAATTAACTTTTCATTACCTCATCAGATTCCAGAATGCTTAGCAATATTCATGAACTACTCATTAAATATTAATAAATAGTTACAGACATTTGCTTACAGCTAATGTCAGTGTGTTATGGGCAGGAAACTGCTGTGAGTTTATGTAAACACATAAATCCCTGTGAGATCTGACACATTTTAAATTTCTAATGTGTATGTATGCTTATCATAAATCAGTTCTGATATACAATACCTGTAAAATGTTTTATTTGTGCATATTGCATTTCTGCTACAGGGCCTTTTTCATTATAAAGGTGGATTTTTTGTTGTGAAATATTGATGATTTTGGCAAGATAGCTTAAAACATAGGCATCATGATTAATAGAATACTTTATGAATTGCTTCATCTATGGTATAAGAAATGCTGGGAGCTTTTGGAAGAGAAAGAATAATACTTTAACCTTGCCTCATACAGTGATAATAGACTTTCAGCATAATAAACAATAATAGTTGCTCAGTAGCTACAGTTATAAAATATTTACTAATAGATATGGAGAGCTAGCTTTACAAATGTCAGAGTTAACAGTGCTGATAACTCAATGAACATTCTGTGTCATCTTAAGGAAAATGCTGTGTATTATGAAAGTATACCACTTTCAGCTTTTAGATCTTTGTATCTCTTAGAGACTTCAGAAGTAGAGCAATGGACTCACTAATAACAATTTCATCTACTTAGTGTAACCCCAAAAGTGATGACTACATTCCATCCTTTCCATATATTAATAATAATAATAATCATCATCATCATCAATTTTACAGTACCATAAAATATGTTAAGTATACATATGTATTTTGTGTAATGTAGAATTACAATTGTTAAAAACTATTTTTTAATCTTAAAGTAGTGTCCATTGACAGATACTTTTCAATTAGTCTTTCTTTATTGTTGTTTTTTTTCCTTCTTCTTTCACGTTAACAAACCTGTATAGCTTCAAAGATAGCATAGAGAAGTCATCTTACTCAGACTGGCTTATCAACAACAGCATTGCTGAACTTGTGGCCTCTACTGGTCTTCCAGTTAACATCAGTGATGCTTACCAGGACCCTCGCTTTGATGCAGAAGTAAGTGTCTTCATCTGCGTTCGTCTTCCATACAGAATGCATGTAGAGTATATGAACAGAAGATTAAGTGGTGTGGAAAATGTGTCTATTAAAACTGAAGGTCACCTCAGCGTATCTCAAATGAGCTTCAAACAGCTACACCAAAGAAAAAATCCACTGAATCAGTGGAGCCTTAATATTGTAGCCTTTTCTTATTATGAGCTGTGTTTACTCACCAACACTAACCCCAGCAAACAGCAGGCATCAGTCTGTCTGATCAATATTATATACATATACATATAAATGTAGCTTTTGCAGTCACTCCCCAGAAATGATGCACTGCTACACCTCCTAGCATACAACTCACATAACTCAAATTACGAACTACCATGTGAAAAGGGTGGTCCATTAAAGTGGACTAAAGGATTTTCACACTTTTTGGCATCCTGTGATGAGATGGTTTTGTCAAAGTTTCATTGTAAATTATGAGGTTAGTTTTACATGGTGTTTCAGGAATGAAGAATTTGAACTAAGCCAAGGCATATACTTCATCTTGAGTGGTCAAGACACACAAATCCAGTTAACCCAGACCTTAAGATGTTTGAGAAGTTTCCACCAAGGTATCTGAAAAGGAAATGATCTTATCCCACAGCAGTGAAACTGTTTGTCTTTTCTTTTTTCAGATGTGAATGACTGTTATTTTGAGGTTATGTTAAGCATGTTTAACACTGTCTGGCACAAACACATTGAAAATTTTTCACTGAAGTGTTATTCACAACTCTTTTGTGAAAGGAATCCATTAACATTGCAAACTAGGTGTTCACAATCCAGGTGTTTCTTTTCATGTTTTAAAATAGTTTTGAATATAGCAGTGGATATAACAAATTGTATTTCTTTTCAAAATATTGGATACATGTTATACTTTCCTACATAGTTAAATGTATACCCTCTCTTTTTCTTCATCTTATTTTGTTATATAGGTGCTCATAAGCAGAAATTATTTGAAATGTTTTAAGAAATACTGACCTCCCTTTCAGTTCCAACCAGTTTTAAAATTGCTAAGAATAATAACTAAGGAACGGCACTCAACATAATCTAAGATCCCTATGTAATCCAGTTTTGGCATTTGAATATATAATATTATGGTAAAAAAAATATTTATTCTTGGAAATGTACTGTTCTTTTTACATAAAGAGGCTTAAAATATCTTTCAGGAGATTCTGTTGCTGCTGGCTCTTAAAATAAATTGTTGCATTTAAAAACCATTTTGTTTAAAGCTTATTATCTCATTAGCTGATCTGTTAATTGTAATCTAAATACATATTTTACTGTACATTAAAACTTTGATTAAATGTATGTCAGATGATTTGAAGCTCCATGTCAGAACAGTTTCAGTGTTCTATTTATTTTTTATTTTAGGCTGATCAGTTCTCCGGGTTTCACATCCGTTCTGTCCTTTGTGTGCCTATCTGGAACAGTAACCATCAAATAATCGGTACGTTTGCACTGTTACATTTCTCATTCAGGCTCTTTACAGACCTTTGTTCATTCACAGACCAAGTGACTTGAGATTCTGACAGATCCTTAAATGAAGATGTTCTGAATTTTTACATGATCCTTTGTTATTTTAATACAGAGAGAGAACTATCAAAAGCCGTATTGTTGAGTTTTTTATGTAAGACATCTTGGTGGAGATTTGATTAAAGCGTTTTCAAGAGAAAGTAATACTGTTATTGTAAGCATGACTGGAGTTTGTAGGTTTTCTTCTATCGTAAAAATAAATTTGTTGTGACCACTTTTTGACTTTTCAATATTTTATAAAATTCAAATTACTGTATGAAAATCAAGGAAATAAATTTGACTATACAGAGAATCCCTTATAGTCATACAAATGGATGGCAATGCCCAAACCATTTAGCAGCTGTTTTATTCAAATGAAATAAATTAGGCAAAAGAACATTCTCGATTCAGTAATTAGTTGCCTTTTTGTAATTGTGGAATTTCAAAATGTCTTCCATGGGTTTCTTGGACTGTAATATGACTATTATGGCACACCTGCTAATTTAGGCAAATAAATCTATATCTGCAGTTTTATCAGATCCTGTAAAACTGCTCCGTTAATTTTGAAACTAACCTAAATATGAAAACGTAGATTAACTTAATTTAATTTAGATGTGGTCTTCAAAGCTAAGCTGCTTTGTGCAATAGCCTTCAACTCCAGGACTACATAAGTGGAAATCTAGGAAGGAATTGAGGCATTGTTCCTTGACATACAGTATTAAGATATATATATATATTTAATTTCAAAACAGCTAATATACGTTGTTTCCATTTCATCACTCTCTGCCACATCCATAATTAGGAGTGCAAGCCACCAGATTCTTATTTTCAAGCTCTTGGATGAAACTAGCATAAGCAGGACAATGCTGTGTTTAAAGCCCATGAAGATCTCAGTCTGGAAGTCATTAGTTCTGTTTGGTAATACAAAGTCACAGGGGGGTGTCAGGGAGGCTGATGGAGTTGGAAGGAGACATCATGCCTATGCAGAAGGTCAGCAAAAGGGAGACAAGCTGTAACTCAGCAATGCGTAGGTGGAAGTTATCAGAGCTGAAAATTAAAGTCTTTGTTACTATACTACAGCATCCTTTGGTAAGCCCTGCACATTTTCACAGATAACAAACAATATCAAGGATACACCATTCAAGAGGAGTATTTTTCGTTTTATTAATTTATTTCTGGGATTCTTTACTGTTTTCCTGAAGACCTTTGAAATGCTTATGAAACAGGGCTTACACCTGTGATTGACTTTGTGTCAGTTTATTTTAGTTGTCAGCTGTATGATATTATTTTTTGAGGAGGCATTTTAGACCTTGAGAGACTTTGTCAAAAGGAGAAACGTTAGCTCTTGTAACAAAGGCACATGTCCTTTGATAACACTCATCATCTATCACAAGACAAACAGGAGTGAGTATAGGGGAGTTTATAATGGACAATCAAGGGATAGTCATCTTTTAAGTTTTCATAGTGGTGGACATTTTAAATAGAAAGCTAAGGTTATGTCTTTCTGAATGTATACATTTTTAAAATGAAGTATGCTTTATCGTGTGGCAAAATGCTGCACTCAGTATTGATATTCCAAATGTGTATATCCCAGCTGCGTATTGTTGTTTTGATAGGCATTGAAATATGGAATTGCACACTAATTTTGCTGTGTACATGCAGAGAATTTTTGTTACATCCTGGAGAAACAATATTCGAAGCAACAACTCTTAACATCTTAAAAGTTTAGTCTCCAAACAGTCACTCACACTGTCACAAAAAAAATTGAGTAGGACAAATAAGGCAAAGGAATAAATATATCCAGTCCATTCTTGTCATTTGCCTATTATTGTACATACTGCAACAGAATGCATTTTTCTATGAAAATTGTTGACCATAGAAAGTGTTCTAGCATGACATCCAAATATCTATTAATTGCAGATTCAAAAAGTACATCAGATTTGTAATGTGGGCTGTGCAGTACTTAAGAAGACAGAACAAGCAGCAATGTATTAATGATAGGAATTTTTCTTTCTACACACAGTCGTTCCATTACTATCTAATGATGTGCCTGATCAAATATTGGGTATGCTCTGTGTTGGAATGTTCCAACAAGCAGTAGCAAACTTCTACCAATGTCAATAAACACCATCAGTACACTTCTGAGACATGATCGTATCAATTGCAACATCATAAATACCTGTATAGCCCATTTAGGACATCCACAAGAAATGACAGAGGCACTAGAGAAAAGAATTTCCTCCATAATTACTTTCCCTTTCACTAGTTATTTTGTTGTGTATCATATACAGTAGCTCAACGATAAACACCTGTCATTTCAAGCAGGTTCTTTTTTGAAGCCATGATTATGCTTGTGTTTTCTCTCCCAGTTAGGCGCTAATAGGACTCTGTATTCCAAAGGCCATATGAGTGAATGGTAGGCTCTCGACATATGCGAATTTAACATTTGCAAGTTTGCTTATTCGCAATTTGGTCTGGCCGACATGGTGTTGTGTGGAAGAAAAGCAGAGAGGGATGAAACCAAACTCAAGGTTGTTAACGGCAACTTTCAAATTAGCGGAGCAACAGATTAGGATGGTGAGAAGGACCGCAATAGCGGGTGAACCTCTCCCTGCTGCCTGCCCAAGTACACACTAACCAGCATCTGCAACTTAACGTGGTCTTGTTTTTATACTGTAATGCACACTCCAGACTCTGTCTCAGCAGTGTGGTGAATGAAAGAGTGGAGACAACTTTACAGGCTCACTGAAAGCTTTTATTGCTCATTTCACTGCAGCATGATAATCACAGAGAGAGAGCAGGCGAATGCAGAGGAGGGATTCATGTTGTTTATTTTAACGAATTGCTATATTTTGTGTGATTACTGTTGTTTCTTTTTGTTGATCAATGTTATTTAACTTCAAGCCAATATCCTAATCATCATATAATGCAGGGTTAATTGTGTATTTTAACTACTGTATGCCCACTACATACTATAATAAATTATGGTATATAAGGTACAGTATATGGGTGGACATGGTTATATGCAATATATACAGAATACTGTTTATTTGTGATAGTTGTCTGCTTCGAACCCTTGCAAATGTTGAGACACTACTGTACATAGAAACCTCAGACACAACTGACTGCTAGCATGAGGAGATAAACGTTTTAGGTTGGGATATTTTGTTGTCTATGCAGTGTGGTAGCATTTATAGGTCAATACATCCTCTAGGGAAGTGATTCTAAATTCTGGTCCTGAAGAACACCTGGCCTTTAATTCAACTGAGCTTGTAATCATAGAGGCTTATTCATCCCTGTAATTGAATTCTTGTGTAATTAGACATTACGTTTCTATGCTCAACCTTTGGTTTCAGAAAGGCTCTGTTTAGGTGTGCTGTTGAGAAGAAATTTAGCAGTCATAGTTCCATTCATGCTCTCCTTAACTTGTTTACATGGTTGCTGCCTTATTTCTGTCTAAACAGCTCTTCAAAGGTGACTAATTAATGATGTCCAGACATCTGTCAGAATGACACTGTCAGGCAATCCTTTAAAAAAATGGCTGTCCTCTACAGACATTCAATTACTTGCATTTATAATAACATAGGATAGTTTGCAAGACCATCTATGATTTGGTTGAGTTTCAGAAGTTAAGTGAACTAAGGGTCTCAATTTGTTTTTCAAACAAGTGACGGTATTGGATAAAAAACATAGCTAGACTTCCATATCTGTTTGAATGAAGAAGCACTATCTGTTCTCAGTTCTGTACTCAGTCGCCTGGCAATTTTCTATTAATGTATGTTTACAAAAATATAGTTACTAGGATTATGTAATTGTTAGGGTAATATAGTTAGCGTTAGTGGGCCAAGTGTCTCTTTTCTGGACTGGTGCCAGGGCATCTTTTTTATATGGTGACTAAAAATAAATATTTTCTGAAGAAAATCGTGTAAATGAGGGCAGAAAAGTCACACAGTGGTTATCACTGCTGCCTCACAGTGCTGAGGTCATGTGTGTGTCCTGTGATGGACTGGCGTCCCATTCAGAGTATGCCCTGCCTTGCATCCGTTGCTTGCTGGGATAGGCTCCGACTCACCTGTCACCCTGAATTGGAAGAAACTTTTAGAAAATGGATGGATGGATTTTTTCAATAAGGTTGTGCATTATGGAATGTTAACACAACATCCCCTCTTTTGAATTCTACACTGTTAACACAGATACATACCCTAGCAAGCTGCATTTTTGTTGCTTTCCAGGATTGTGTAGAAGAAGAAAATGATGTATGCAAATGCCTGAATGAGTGTAGACGTGAAACTCAGAAATTAGCTGATGGTTGATAATAATTACTAAGCCCATAGAACTTCTAAAGAGTCTCAATAACCAACTTATTTATTAAGTGAGTGGAGTTAGAATAATAACATGGTTATCCGATCTGTGTTGAGAATCACTTTTTTAGGGAGGATTTCAAGGAAATTGTTTTGAAGTATAAGGATGATTAATACCCCAAATACTTCATTTAAGCTTACTATAAATGTCCTTGTAATATATCAAGTCCTTGATGTGTAGACTTTAAAACTTCTTTAGAATCCTTTTGGCATTCAAGAAGTGTCTTTCAAACACAAGAAACAAATCTATTAAAGAAAATTAAAAAATGATCCCACTGAATGGCATCTCCATTGCATTGTACTTAAAATAGAAGTTAAAACTGACTACTCTTAACCTCAAGGGGCACATCATTTATGTTGTGATATTTCCCCTGAAACGGGCTAATTTGATAAATCTGACTTTCTTTCACACCTCCTTGAAGACTTTTAAACATTTTTGTAGAATAAAAAAACACGTATGTTACTTATTATAATCTTCATATTATAAGGAGTATTTTAAATTGTACATATCGTACTTTGTGTCAGCAAATTAAAACATTTTGGTCCTTTAGATAGAGAAAGATAATGAAGAAAGTGGTAAGAAGCCTTTTAGAGATATCCATTGTTATTAAGTTTTTCCTAAGCTGAGTTAAGATCGTTTTAGTGTAGAATAGTGCTGTGAGCAGCCAGTGTTTGTTCCACTTAAAATCTTAGTTGAAGGAGTTGTTTCTTTATTTCAGCACATTTTTGCTGGCCTACTCTGTCATTTGAGAATCATTCTTGTCAGTCTTAGTTGAAAATGATGTTTGCCTTGCTTATTGCTTGCTCCGCCAAATGTAGCTTCCCAAGAGTCTTATTTTCTCAACTGAATGAGATTCATGAATTGCACCACTACTACACTGATTTACAAATGTACTGATAGTGGTGTTGCAGATGTGTTTGTTACCATTTTCCATTAATGTGCAAGACTAAAATACACAATATGTTTACTAAATATTTTTTATATATACAGTAAAACAGCTTAATTTGGAATGGGCATTACAAGCCTTTTAGGTTTTTACAGAGGAGAGCAATTATATATTGCGCTGGGATACATGATAAAATGACCAACAGGATTGATATACATCAATGGCTAGACAGGACTATACAAATGAGTCAATGGATTTAAAGCAAAAAGTAGTTAATTTCCAGTCATGCCCAAATTACATCTTCCTTTATTTAAAATACCTCTTGACAATTTAGAGCACTAAAAACTAGTAACAAAATAATACACATTTTTTTATATCAAGAATAGAGATAGAAACCAGGAAAAAGAGAAACAATGAGATCAAAATAAAATATAATATATACATTATACTGTATATAAGCATAATTAACTTGAAATGAAATACAAACTGTGAGAGCCAAGGAGCAGTGGAAAACAATTTTAACTAAATGCCATTTTCATACTCTCAAATCTAGAGAGCCAGCAAGATCTTAATGCATCTCAGCAGAAACACACAGTAAAGATCTTTGCTTAAGACCTTGATACCATACAGATATTTTTCTTCAGCATTCCTTCACAAGTCTCAGCCATATCTCTCCACTTCCCTGGTCTGCTTTCATATGAAATTTCAGATTCAATTTACAGGCTCTTTCCTATACCCTTAAACTGAAATCCTTCCATTTAGTTAGGGTTTTTCACAGGTATTCACTTAAGTAGCTCCATATAATATTGTGTATTCTTTCAGTAACAAGAAAACATAGTGAAATTATTTCAGCATTTAGTACCGTCGTCTTATTTTACTTGTATTACACTTATGATTGTTTTCTGTATTCTCTGAATGTAGAATAAAAAGTACCTAAGAAATTATAATAAGAAGCAACTGAATCTTTACCCTTCCAATTTCACAAGTGCACAAGGAGAACTGGTTTATCAATTACTTTAATTAATGTGTGGGTGTGATTTCCTGCTAACTGGAGTGTGAAGTGTGAAAATGGATTATGTATATGAAACAGCAGTGGAGTCAAACTGTACATTTGGCAAAGACAAAACAAATGAGCTTTTGGATAAGAGCTAATTAGAACAGGTTTGAACAGAAACGGGCCTGTGAGAATTCAGCGGCAGCCACCACTGTGATTTGTCTTTTGTGTGCAGGGGTGGCTCAAGTCTTGAACAGGCTTGATGGGAAACCGTTTGATGATGCAGATCAACGGCTCTTTGAGGTACTGGCTACCCATGCTGTATAACTATATGTACAAATATTTATTTGATTCTAATCCTGAGCTAAAAATAAACTTGTGTTTTTAACCCCCACAGGCTTTCGTTATCTTCTGTGGACTTGGAATCAACAATACAATAATGTATGATCAAGTGAAGAAGTCTTGGGCAAAGCAATCTGTGGCCCTCGATGTAAGATGTTCTTCCCCTTCATCTCTCCAGAAAAATGTTCTTTTAGTTCGGAAAAAGGGAAAAATGTGCTTGTTAGGTCATTTTAAGCCTTTTTATACGAAGCTGGTAATATGTTAAGTGTAGTGAGTGAAAACAGGAGAGGTACCATATTCACAAAAACTGTGCACAATGCATTCTGTTCTAATAGAAATTAGATTATGTTGTTAAAGTACAAATTGCGTGATTGATGTTCTTGTATATGATTATAGGCTTAAGTTTTGTTTTTTCAGCATGGTTTTTGAATTTTGGTATGCACATAAAAGGACCGATCATTCTCCTGATAAAAGGTGGCATTTAATATATTTCTAAGTATCTTAAGACTTTTATCCAGAGCTTTCTAAAATTTCTGATTTTGTGCTCTTTGTTTAATAACTTCACAAGCATCTTACTATAGGATAGTGATAACCATTAGTATTGACCAGTTGATAGTATTGTAACATAATGTTTACACAGTGATCTGATTCAAACATCCAGCCTTTTTGGCTACCTTAACCCATTCTTAATGCTGGTGAGTCACAGCTCTGCTACATTAAGTATTTATTGATACGCTAAAAAGTGAGACAATAATGTTTCTTAAAGGTGACTTTTGTAAAGCTTTTGATGTGGAACAAAGGTTCTGACAAAGCAGACTAAATGTACTTTTTTTCTGCTGTTTGAGTTGACACTAACATAATGAAACCAATTCCAGAGCCACTATTCCATTGTTATAATTAGTATTTAATACTGAACAGTGGCAGCACCAGTCATATTTTTGTTCCTGCTGGGTGGGATTAAATTGATGCTATGTTTCATTGTATTTTAGCTAGTAAGCTCTTTTAGGGTGAGGTAGAAGGCACCTTCCATCTTTATTTTTAAGTTTCGTTTAAGAGTCAAGCAGCCTTCAAAGATCTCTAATGTGTGTTTTGTTAGTGTCTCAACAAGCAAGAATTCTGAAAATAAAATTACTTAGTTAAGGCTTTCACCATAAGAGTAGGTAGGAACTATATTGCTTTTCCTCCAGTGGAAGAGGGTGTCAGGCGTTGTTTTTCTTTAATAAAAAGGTGAACTGTACATATCGTGAAGATTAGGCACTTCTCTTCAACAGAGAGAATTACTTGGTTGTGCAGACAAACCCAGAAGGATTTTTAAATGCTTCAGCTATTTATTCTCTATCTTTAAAAGCAATAATGTACATTGGGGAAGCATTATAAAACGAGTAAGGAGGCAGATCAGAGCTTTTGGCAGCACTGAATAAACATGAGTATACTTCATCAAATAACAAATGCATAAGCTGTAAAAGTTATTTCAGTGTAGATATGAGAAAAGCACCTGCAGGGACATCGGCTCTAAAAATGATGTGGATCTGAGCTGACAGCATGTTAGTCTCCGTTGCTGTACAGCCAGGAACGTGCTTAGCACATACTTATTCAAAAAGCTTCTCTTTTGATCCATATCTTTTCTCACTTCATATAATGCATTTTTACTTTGTATTTAGTTAAGAGAATATGCCTCAGAGCCGATAAGCCGATAAACTCCAGAGTAAACATTGCTTATTTACTCTCCACTGGAAATAGCCGGTCATTTCCTTTGTTTCACCATCACCAATAGCCACCTCCAAAACACCTATTGAATATAATATTTGTGGATTACTACTAAAGGTAATGGATTAATACTTTAAGGGCTGCAAATTCCATTCATTAACACTTTACAGCTATCTATTAAAAGAGTATCAATACAATATTTATAGTCTGGTAAGATTGAATGCCTGCTGATAACATTACAAATAATAGGAGGACATTTGACCCAATTACAGTAACTTGTTTGGGTGCAAGTTACTGATTTGAGGATCTCATCCTGCCATTTTATGAAAGAAGGCAGGTTATGAGTTACAACAACTAAGTTGGGTAGCTTGTTATAGACCCTCACAACCTTCTCAACCTCTAAGCTGAAGTAGAGTGATGAAAACTGTGCCTAGGACCAATTATATTTGATACAGATACAAACAGGTTGCAGAGTCTGCAGTTACATTGCTGTTGAATACATACAAATAGAACATTAGTCATTTACATCATTGATATTTACTAAGCTCACTTAAGTGATAGTGGTGTGAGAGCTATCTTTCCATACCAGTTCCAAACGTTGTCTGAAATGATTGTGATTGAACAATAGTTGTTGCCTCTATTAATCTTGCTACATGACCTTGCTCTAAAGGAAAGAGCAATAGAAAAATCCAGATATTTCTTGGAGGCTTTGTTCTGGAAGAGAATATATACATGCTTCTGCATCACAGTCTGTTTAATATTTTGTAGTTAGTTTGTTGGTTAGTTATCTTTTTCATATGCAGTACATCTAAAAATGAAAAATCTGTTTAAACCTATACTCCTTTGACAGGTCCTGTCATACCATGCAACCTGTTCCAAGACTGAAGTTGATAAATTTAAGGTAAGGGACATCATATTTATGGAAGTATCAAAAAGTGTATTTTTGTTCCTAGAATAAATGACACCCTAATACCAGACAAAATGGATTTTGTGTCTTTTAACATTCCTGCCTTGAATATATATATTGCAATATTTTTAAATGAATACCTTGTCATTATTGTTATTTTTATGTACAGTATGTTATGCAAGATACCATGACTGAATAAGGTGATATTTGGACATTATTATGTACCTAAATACTATCCTTGTGGCTATTTTATTATCCTTCAGATTTCTTTCTTCATGTTGTAAAGAAGTGGTTTTGACTAAAAAGGCTGCAGATACTGTCTTTATGATAATAGGAGGAATTCTCCCATCTGTGGCAATGTTATGGATGTTGAAATTGATACTTTTAGTTGTTGTGTAAAAAAATGGCTTTACAAAAGTGAAGAAGCAATTGGCTATTTAATTCGTTCATTATACTGCTTATCTTTAAGTGAACAATCTTTTCTTGTCTTTTGATATCTTTACGGAGCAGAATTAGAATTTTATACCACTTATATACATTTATAAAAATATGTATGGGCTTAAATAGGTTTTTATGTTAAAGCTCAAATTCTTTGTTTAACAGGAAGGAATAGCAGTCTTTGTGCTGGTAATTATATCCATCCAAGTGCATATCATCACAACATACAATTGAGACTTTTGCAGAGTTGTGTGTGTTTGGTAAATCTCCTGATATCTCCTTTTTTAAATATCAACTACATTACAATTTTCATTAATTTTTTTTGTTTTACTTGTGTAATGCCTGTAGAGAGTGCTGTATTAGCATATTGGTATGCCTTGTAATACATTCCTGACTTAAATAGCCTTCAGCCCTAATGGTTAGAATAGTTTCTTTATTAATGTCATTTGTACTACATTTACAAGATTTTCCTGTAAGTTATTCATTCTGTAAAACAAAATATTTCATAAAAAGTAGTACACATGAATTAACCTTTAAATAAAACTTATAGTTGTCCCTTAATCTGGAAGGCTTAAAAGCAAAATATTAGTAACAATTAAATCTGGTAAATTTTATGTTAATTTAACCATTAAAAGTGGGAACAACAGCAAGACGATAATCCATAAACGAATTTCTTTGGAAAATATTATACGTTTATGCGAGGCATTATTTAAGTACCTCAGCATATGTACAGTAATTCATGACAAAACCTTTTCTAGGAAACTGCTCATGGGGGCTGATTCATCAGATTTTCTGTTCCAATGATGAAGGGAATTCTTATTCGATGTTTTCATGGTAAATATGAATATATGGTTGCCTTAAAATAGAAAGTATTGGACAAATGTAACTGCGACTTACACAGAGATCTAGTATTATTAGAGAAAAACTAATACTGTATTAAAAACGAATATTCCATGAAAAATCCCAATTTTATTGAGAGTGGTATAATTTAATATATAATGTTTTATAAATATTATTTTTTTAAATAAATGTACACTAGCCATTCATTTCACAAATATTTGATAAATATGCATTAACATACTTGAAAAATGAATACCCTTTGTTATATAGAAAACTTGTTAAGCTATAACAAAAGGCCACTGAGCCATGTGTATATTGTGCACTATAACCTACTCAAAGCTTAAGCCACATTTAAAAGTTTTGTCTCAAAATATCTTGCCCTACATCGTGAATTCCAAGTTCTCATATAAGTGATTGTTTTTCCCTTTATTCTGTATTATTGTTTTAATTAGTATTGTTTATTGTAATAAACAGATACTTAAATGGGTACAATGTTTACCTTTATTGTTAATGTGTATTAACGTAGGTCACATATATGTTATTATTGCCTTTAATTAGTGGGAAATTAATTTTCAGTTAATGTATTTTCTCTTAATAAACAAGTTTCAGGGAATAGATTGCTTTTGTAAAATGAGATGATATATTGCAGATCCCTGTTGTCCGTGAAGAACACAAATTGCTTCCTAAATAATAACTGACCTTCATGTAATACAGTAATTACTCCTTTATTTAAAGTAATCTGTTTGAAATTGATGGAAGAAAATCGCAACTTGACTGCAGACTTAATTTTTTCAGTCTCATCTTACCAGCGTTCAAATACAGATTTGGTTGGAAATGTCATGCCTGCATTTCAAGATTTTTTATTTTTATTGAATGAGCTTTATATCATGCCCAGCTGCCACAGGCTTTCAGTGTATCAGAGCTATACAGCATGCGTAATATCCCAGAAGGGGAAAAAGGGAAAAAAAATATATCAGTCCATAATTCAGCTACTCTGCAGTTTCTGCTAGTAAGAAAGTAATTGGTAAGGACTTTCATGTTTAAGCTAGATAATGAGCCTCAGCAATATTCTTTTTTTAAACACTGGTTAAAAAAACATTTTTTGCAATGGTTCGTTATTTATCTTCACCACACCATACATCCAACAGACAGAAATAGTTGCCCTTAGGCAAACATCTTATAGTGTAGTATATACAGATGCAGCCATTCAAAATGTGCGGTACAAACCCGTACTGCACGCAAGTACACACAGGTCACTGCGTTGTACCGCAGTACATGACTGGCTGGCCAAAATGACCAACAGGGGCACTCATGGTGCATTGGTCATTAGTGAAAAGATTTAATCTCTTTACTGTGCATGTTTTAATCCGCTTAGTATTGAATATTTATATGGAATTTTACAACTAAAGGGTAATTTTAGTAGCTGAGCATAAAAAGAAGAGGAGCATAATGCGTCTGATGGTCATAAACGATATTAATTTAGGAACATAAACATATTATGTAAACTGAATCTGGCTGGTATTGAAAGTTTAAAGAAAAAATACACAATACAGTATTTTACTTTCTTCCTAAACATTTTAAACATCAAAGTCTTACACGTGGTTATTTTGAAAACGATTTTACGTGCTCCTTCTGACTATTTTAAGTTTATATACTTTGTAAAAAGTTATAATGTTTTAACCTGTTCTGCAAATTGCTTGTCATCGCAGTAAACTAAAGCATACTTTTAGAATTTGATTAATAGGGAATATAATATGGAATCGCATATCTAAAGAAATTAATAATAAGAACACAACAATCCCCTGGATTATGTCACAGCACTATCCTCTACACTATTTAAGAGCAATTTCTGTTTAGCTTCATCCAGAAAAGTATGCTTTCTCAACTAATATCCAGAGACTTATAGAGAGTGATTATTATGAAATGCACAATGCCCTTAACTCTGTTAAATCTTGTCACAAAAGAAAACAAATATGCGAGCATCCTTCCTCTTGGTGTTGTGGGACATTTCTAATTTGTTAGATACCAAGTAAGGGATTTTATTGTTGGCATGTGTTGTAACAGAGAAAAAGATGAATGTGCACATCAAGCAGAAAATCTCCAGTCTTGCAGCAGATTTTGAACTATTCAGTTGCAAAAGGCATGAAAGGAATAAGGCAGCAATGCATAAAATAGATTGTTTGACCATGGCAGTAAAGGCTCTTTCAGTATTGTTGTGCCTAATTCCCATCTATAAATGGCATTTAGTGGCTTGGTAGCTACTGAATATTACCAGGATGAAAAGCAAGCCACTCAAAATACCTCTTTTTGTCTTATCTCAATACCCTGGATGTATGTTATAAAAAACTGGTAATGGTAAATGGCTTTCACCAGTATGCAAAACACAACCTATAATGGTCTCTATAAGGTAGACCTCCCATTTAGCCTGGAAATAAACTGGACTAAAAATAAGTTACAGACTGAAGTGACATAGCAACAGTGCTGGAGTGATAAAATCATTCACAAGTCATACCTGCAAATTGCCAAATATTATATTGGCCAGTACCTTTAAAATACAAACTTATACCTTTAAACTGCAATTTATTTGATATGAGGCGTGGTAGGTGTCTGGAAAAAAGATATGCGGTCATATTACCAAAAAGGGCACTCTGATCTCTTTCAAGAAATGGCTAGAGTATATATTGAATTGAATATTAGCAATCAAACAGGCTAGAGGGTGGACTGACTCCACTTGTTTATATGCTTTCTAGTTCCTTGTGCTCAAATTGAAATATTGAATGTTTAGAGAATTGTAGCTTGGTACATTTCTCTCTTATTAATTTCAATTCCACAAGCTAATTCCACAACAAATCTTGCCATTATCATTGTCATCAAACATGGACACTATTATTTGCATATTTTTCCATGAACTTCCATCACTTTCAATGACTCAAGGCCGTGACTATCATGTCATTTTCCCTGATGGTGGTTTTATGAATGAGGTGTGGAGGCAGTCACAGTGTTTAACAATGCAGTTGAGGCAGATTGCCTGTTTTTATTAATAACGTTCAAGGACTTTTATTTGTATCTTTCACTCTGGCAAACAAACTGGAATCTGCAGTGCATCACAATAAAGAATGTTCTTAATGTTGTATTCATGCAACTGAGCAATTATGACAATGGTGAACAGAAAAAACCTGTACAATTAATAGTAAGTGTTTTTCCTGTGATGGAGTGGTGTGCCATCCAGGCTGTACCCTGCCTTGAGCCCACTGCTTGCCAGGATAGGCTCTGGCTATCCCGCGCCCCTGAATTGGAAAGAAGCAGTTAGAAAATGGATGGGTGGAAGTGTTTGTCCAGCCTCTGCACGACACAAGCTTCTATGTCTGAAATTAATCTTAGACTCTTGAGCCACATCTTACTGCCTCCTGTGATGAGCTAATTTAATTGATCCAAAGATCTTTTAAGATCACTTTATTAGCAATATACAATTTCTTGCATTAGGAATTTTTCTTGTCGCATATCCCAGCTTGCTCTCCATGAGACACACAGACACTCAGACGGGGAGAGAGAAGCTTGGGGTCAGAGCGCAGGGTCAGCCATTTACTGTATATGGCACCCCTGGAGCAGCTGGGGTTAAGGGCCTTGCTCAGGTGCCCAACGGAGTAGGATTCCTCTGCCGGCCGCAGGATTTGAACCGGCAACCTTCTAGCCACAGGCGCAGATCCTTAGCCAAA